GGAACAACACCATTAATTAAAGAGCTATTCACAATAGATAATTGTAACAAAGTTCGTAGTCACGGGAAGAAGGAGGCGGGAACCGGCGGACATTTAAACAAACTTTAATAAAATAAACAAACACAAAATAGCGTTTAATAAAATAAACAAACCCAAAATAGCGCGACAGCCCCTCGCGGACGACTGTCGCGCACAAAAGAAACCAAAATACAAAATAAACTCCAGGCCTGGTCCTCTCTCGTCCGACACGGTCGTCACTCCTCCCTTTTATCCTTCCGGAGCTCCTCCGTGAGACTCGAGACCGGTGAGTGGTGCAGGTGTCGCTCATTATCAATTACTCCACCGGCCTCGCTCCGTTCCCACGGCTCTCGGCCCCGCCCCCACTCGTCACAATAATATACTAGGGCCCATAATTTCAAACAGATCCTTTAAAAAGCGAGGAGGAATAGGATCTAAAGGAGTATGTGACAGTTTCATATGTTTAACAATGCCCTCCAGAACTGGAAGAGAGACAAGGCCAAAGCAATTAAATATACAAGAACTTGGCATAGAGGCTGCTAGAACACCATGAGAAGACACAATATCTTCTCTGATTGACTCAATCTTTCTTATAAAAAAATTCAAAAAATCCTCACAGGTATGTGAAATAGAGTCAATAGGGGATACTATAACGGGGTTTAGCACAGTGTTTATTGTGCTAAACAAAACTTTAGGACAGTGAGCATTTCTACTAATTAAATCAGAAAAAGATTTAGTTCTAGCAGCTTTAACTGCATACTGATATTTATTAAGAGATCCCTGTAACATTTCAAAGGAAATTTGTAATTTGTCTCTCTTCCATCTACGTTCTGCTTTTCTACATGCTTGTCTGAGAGCACGTGTTTCATTATTAAATTATGGCTGAGACAGGGACTTAGGCTTTTTTAGTCTGATTGGAGCAACACCATTAATGATATCCAGATATACAGAATTAAAAACAACAGTCAACTCCTCTGTGTCCAATGAGGGTCCAGACGCCTCTATAATAGAGGAAACTGGGCTTTTAACATATGCCTCAGCAAAACGATTTGCTATCGACTCATTTATAGGACGAAAATAACAATCAGTAGATTGGCTTTTAGATACGGAAGCAGGCAGATCAAAATGAAAAAAAAGACAGGTCTTTGGTCAGATATATAATTATCCTCTGTGACCACATCACTAATTGACAAGCCCATGGATAAAACCAGATCAAGAGTATGCCCATGCCTGTGTGTGACAACACAAACAAACTGTGTTAAGTTAAAAGAATCAATGAGATCAGAGAACTGCTTTCCTAAAGGATTAGACGAGCAACAACACACAGCTCCGATCACAGCGTCCTCCATCCTCCTGTTGTTAATGTTGTTCTTCTTTGCTTCCATTGTTGAACGCCGCGTACAAATGACGTCGCTGTCGACCGGCTTACGTCACTTCTTAGTACACACTGTCGGTGCGAATGCAACCCTTTAAATAGTACTGGGAAATAGTTCCCGCAAAATCGTCCCAGTACTTTAGTACTGTACATTTAGTTCTGGAACTAAAGCGGTGCGAAAGGCCCTATGGATATTAAAGTCCCCAATAATTAAAAGGTTATCAGTGGTCGGAACGATAGAAGAGATAAAGTCCGAAAAGTCCTGAATAAAGTCCTTATTATATTTAGGAGGATGATAGATAAGTGCACAATATACATTGTAGGTCAGTTCTAATTTAATCAACTGTAATTCAAAAGTTGAATATGTCTCCACTGATACGAGGCTACATTTAAATATGTCATTAAAGAGCGTGGCCACAACCCCACCTCGACCAGTGTCTCTGGGGGTATTTAAAACATTTTAGTTCGCAGGCAACAGCTCGGTAAGAAGACAGGTATCCAAAGGCTCAAGCCAAGTTTCAATTAGGAACAAGAAATCCAAATCCTTAGATGCCACAAAGTCGCGAAGTATGAATGTTTTGTTTCTCACTGACCTCACATTCAGAAGTGCAGTGTTTGGTAACATTTAAAATGATACCAAACATGAAAGGGGACAACAATATATTTACAAGATACATCATATGAGGTATATCGACATTCTTAGTGAACTTTCAGTGACTGGAGCCTTGTGAAGGGAGGAGAGGGAAAGGGGGGCCCTGAATAAGCAAGGAGAGTTTGGGCAAGGTGGGGTCCTGTGCTCTTTCTTTGAGATCTTCTCTCCAGATTAGTGAGTTTTATTGTTTTGTTGTAGGGTGTTTGATTTCATGTTCTGTCTTGGCAGGAAAACCATTCTTACAGACCAACAATTAAAGAAATGGAACAGATCGAATACAAGAATGTCATGTGTAAATGTGTCTACCTCAGACAGACTGACAAACTCAACTACAAAGTGATCTGTAGGCCAATGACATACTTGGTAATGATATGGAAATAAACAGTTTATTGACTTTGTTGTAAAATGTATTTAATGCTTCGTTTGTCTGCTGCAATAATGTGACGTGTCTGAAGTTTAATTTGGTGGAATTTCTCAGCAAATATTGACAAATGTGATTCAGTTGCCTTTAATTTAATTAATCAGCATATCCTGCAAGTAATTTGATTCAAATATAATGACGACAGCTCTAAAAATAAAAGTTGAACTTTGAAGCAACGCTAGACCTGAATGAATCATTGCACTGTAACATGTCACTTGGGCAATGCTTTCAAATCAAAAGTGATTTCCTTTTGACAAAAATGCAAATATTTTTATGACAGATTCCATATCATACCACATGTCAAGAAACCTGGCAAGCATGCCAATGAAATTATTCTGAAGCCTTTTTTTTTCAGTAAGCAACGCTATCTATTTACATGCTAATTTATATGTCTTTCCACCTTCATGTTTTGACATTATTCATGATTGCTGCATTGAGAATAATGTTTGGTTTTGGGTTTGTGAAAGAGCCACTTCATCCACACATTTTTATGTGTTTTATATATAAACATCACATTAATTCTGGGTATATTCTCTCTTTGTGTCGTGACTGTGGGTGGTATAATAGTAAAACCACCTGCTGATTCCCGTTTGAGCAATGGCAATTTAGTCCTCATGTTAAATATGCTATCAATGCTTTTAAGTGTTTGCCACAAGCATTCTACAGAGGATGAAACGTTTTTCAAGTGGAGTATGAGTGTAAATTGCTGCTTGTATCAAAACTGTTCTTAAGAACTGATGTAACAATGACGTTAAAGAATGTCTGATGCTGAGGTACTGTTGCACAATTGACAAGGGTTTTTTTCAACATCAGTAAACCTTTGATATTTTTAATAGTGGTTTAAATATTCAAATACTTTTTAGGGCCAAAATAATTAGGTTTAAATAATAGGGACAACATTCTATAAGCAAACTACATATTGCAAAAATAACAGTATGTGTACTGTTCTCAGGTTCTGGAGAAACAGATTTTAGACAAAAGTGGGAAGCAATTTTAAATAAATGCTCCCAGGACCTTATGCTATTGTTAATTGAAGAAGCAAAAAAACGGACTTTTGCCTCAATAAACTACTAATTTGCTGCTTATTAATAGTTAGTAAGGTAGTTGTTAAGTTTAGGTATTGGGTAGGATTAGGGATGTAGGATATGGTCATGCAGAATATCTGCTTTATAAGTACTTACCGAGTATTGATGAAGACCAATCAGCAGTGGAGATTTCACCCAGAAGAGATTTTTTAGGAAACAAGTCCAGAATTTTTCAGAGATCCAGAAGACAAGAGGACGGAAGATGAGACGAGAAGAAGTAGAGGCTTTGAACTGGCTTTCCAATAACGAAGATCTTGTAATAAAAAGAGCGGATAAGGGAGGCGCAGTTGTTGTATGGGGCAGAGATCAGTACATCAAAGAAGCCTTTAGACAACTACAAAATTGTGAGTACTATCAGCGCCTGAAATTTAATCCAATAGAAAGTATTAAAAATGAATTGACTGACATTTTATTACATGCTGAAAATGAGGGATGGATTTAAAAAAATTAACGTGATTTTCTATTTTGTAAAGATTCCTACTTTTTATATGCTTCCAAAAGTACACACAAATCTTGAAAATCCACCAGGGAGACCTATAATTAGTGGTAATAGGTCTATTACAGAGCCGGCTTCAAAATTTGTGGATTATTTTATTAAACCATTGGTTAGTGAACTCCCCTCGTTCATTCAAGATACAACTCATGTATTGAATATCGTTAAAGAAATGAAAACTACAGAATCATCTATACTGGTGACTATGGATGTTGAATCATTGTATACGAATATAGATCATAAAGATGGGCTGGAAGCATTATCATACTATTTAGATATGAGATCATCTACTGAAAGGCCACCGGCATGTTTTATTATGCAATTAGCAGAATGGACATTAAATAACAACTTCTTTCTGTTTCAAGATGAATTCTATAAACAAATTAAAGGCACAGCAATGGGTGCCTGTTTTGCCCCAAATTATACAAATTTGTTTTTAGGATTTTGGGAAAAGAAATTTGTATTTTCTGATTCAAATCCATATTTAAAGAATGTGATGTGGTGGAGTAGATATATAGATGATATCATTTTGATATGGACAGGTTCAGAAGCAGATCGGTTAGTCTTTCATTCATACTTAAATAACACCAATGTAAATTTGAAGTTGAGTCTTGATTTTTCACATACTCAGATACATTTCTTGGACTTAACAATTTTGAAAGAAGGCAATGGTGTGTTACATACTACTATTTTTTAGGAAAGAAACTGATATAAATACTATTTTAAGAGCAGATAGTTTTCACCCTTCATGGTTGATCGACAATATTCCCTTAGGACAGTTTCAGAGGTTAAAAAGAATCTGTGACAAGGAAGATGATTTTGATTTCAAGGCTCAAGAAATGACTCAAAGATTTCAGGAACGAGGGTACAAAAACAGGGTGATCAACAAGGCATTTCATAAAGCAAGAAACATCAGTAGAGATGAGTTATTAGTACAAAAACGTAAATCACAAGACTCTGATAATTCGGTTTATTTCGTTACACAGTACAGTACAGAGGCGAATAGAATTAAGAAAATTATAAAAAAAGAATTGGGAAATTGTGATGAGTGATCCCCATCTCAGGGAAGTCATGCCTGAATCTCCCTCCATTGTATTCCGGAAAGCACCTACGATTAAAGATAAATTAGTGAGAAGTCATCTTTCCTCTAAGAAATTAAGTACCTGGTTATGTCCGAGTGCAGGAAATTACAGATGTGGCAATTGCAATCACTGTGACAATATGGTCAAGACAAATACTGTATGTTTAAAGATGTAACTTCACACACTGAATTTAAAGTTAAATCATGCATTAACTGCAATACCTCATTTGTAGTGTATCGGTTAGAGTGTCCATGTGGTTGTTTCTATATAGGGATGACTACAAGGAAATTAAAGATCAGATTAGCAGAACATAAGAATGCCATTCGAGTTTGTAACCCTTTGTATCCTATAGCCCTTCATTATAAAGAGAATCGTAAAGATTATAAAGAAAAATCATGGTAGCCCAAGTACATTGAAGATAATCAGAATAGAACATGTCCCCAGGTCAATAAGAGGAGGTGATAGGGTCAATAGGCTTTTACAGAGAGAGTATTTTTGGATCTATATACTGAAAGCAACTAAACTTCCAGGCTTAAATGATGGGGAATTAGACCTTGTACCTTTTTTGTAATAAGAATTCAGATCTGGAAGTATTATATTGTTGATCTTCTGTTTTTTTTTTTTTTTTAAGAAATGTATACTATGTACATACACACACTGATTTGTGGAGTTTGATTTATATATTTAAAATTTTTTTTTTCTCCCTCCTTTATACATGATTATATTGTGTTTGATTTAATTTGATATGTAATCGTCGAACTTCCTCTCTACTGTTTGTCCTGTGTAGAACGACCAGGTGATTGTTATTTGACTAATTAATTGCTGCTCAAAATGAACTCAGATTGTGTTTGTTACTCACACCCTGACGAAGGCAAAATAGCCGCAACGCGTAGGTGTGCACTTGTCACCTGTTCTTAAAACTCATAGCCATGATGAAATAAAGGCTTTTTAAAACTTTTTGTATACGATTTGAGTGCCTTGGACTACTATTATTCATAACAGTATGTGTATTTTAGCAAAATTGCACATGCACAGAGTCTTTGAATGTGCTGAGATGCTATTCTTCTTCTTTTAACTATTTACGTGTCTGAATCTAGGCCAGCACTGTCTCTTTTTAGTGAGGATTCAATGCTTTGATAATAACTGTACGCCACTGACAGTCAGAGCTCTTCTGAAAATAACTGATAATACAAAGAAACTTGAAAAAGATGGAAAAGTAACAGACAGAGAAACTCCTTTAGCCTTTATATAATTTGGTTTGAGTAGCTGGTACAATAATGTCCTTGTTACATCATTCCTGTGCCACTGTATCAACCGCTAATAAATGTGACATTTTATCTGTGATATTATTTAAATTCATAGGTATTTGTATATAAAATGTACATGCTTGTTTTATGATACATCAACAACTTATTATTATTATTTTTTTTTTTTACAACTTTAGGAACTCTGACAACTGGTTGTAATAAATAAATTAAAACTACATTATTACAATACATATAATATATACATATATAATATTATAATAAAATATTACTTTGGTAAATGCATTAACTGTGTTGATTGCGTCAGATGCAATGTCTCATTTATTAGAAATTTGAATGAATTAAAATTTAAAATGCAAAAAAAATAAACAAATACATAAACAATGTATGAATTCAATGATATAATAATAATAATAATAATAATAATAATAATGAAACATGATTTTTATGAACCTCAAATGATTCATTTGTACATCTGTACAAGTTGTACATATGTAAAAGGGTTTTTTCCATTGATATTGTACATAAAAAAATGTTCTAGAACAGTGCAAATACCTCTGAAAACTAAGATAAAAAAGTAAATATAAATTCATATATTCAAAACCTTCAACTTCCAAGCAGCCGGGGTCCATTTGTGCCAACAGCATATTGGCCTTATACTGCGGAGGACAGAGGTGTGCTTTGCTGTAAATGATTTGTCCTGAACTATTGCTGTTTAGGAAGATAGCTCATTACAAGAGTCCGACCGCCAGCAGCCACCTTTGATGGATAGTTTTTCGCAGACACCTGACAGCAGATTGTTTTTGCATTGTAAACAAACAGAGAGAGTGTGTTATACAAGTAAGCCAAGTAGAGACTGTGGCAGTACAAGAGAATTTGCCAGTCTGGGTGAGCTCCTCTACCTAATCAATTATACTGGCCAGTGTACAGGTCCAATCAAAGGCTTGGCTTGGTGCTTATTTTACCCTTATTGTAAAGAAATTAAAAAAAAACAAAAAAACATTTAAAGTAGGAACAGTCCGATTATAATGGTTGACTAAAAAACTACTCAAACAGTGAGGCTGACAAGTTTATTTAGATTTTTTTTTTCAAATGTTCAAAGTTACACTGCACACACACACACACACACACACACGTTTGTTTCTGTGAATTGTGGGGACCTTCCATAGACTATTACTTTTATACTGACCAAACAATATTTTCTATCCCATAACCCAACCCTAACCCTACCCCTTACAGAAAACCTGTTTGCATTGTTACACTTTCAGATAAACATCATTTACTATTTTTTATATATTTTTTTTCCCTCGTGGGGACCGCAGGCCGGTCCCCACAATATCAAAAATGTCAGATTTTACTATCCTTGTAGCATAAAGTACACACACACACGCACACACAAAGATTTTGAAAATCTAAAAAAGATTTTAAAAAAGAAGAAAAAAAAAACAGATTAAAAAAAGATTCAAATACATTCAAATAAATTTGATTAAATTAGATATTAAAATAGTTTGCAAGATATTAAGGTTTGCAAGCACCCAGCATGCATTGAAGCATTAATAAATTATACATTTAGTGACCTTATTTATAATGTTGACATTATTTTTGTCATCACTCTTAGTCATTCGTTGTTTGTATCAAGGACTCATCAGCCAATACATTTTTCATTTTTCGTTTTTTTTCCCCTCAACACACAAACCTCAAACATCAACAACTAAAAAGATGAGCACACAACAAATAAATAGAACTAACAACAAAAATAACAACAGCAATAGTCTGCAAGCTGCAAAACAATAAGCATACACTGACAAAAAGAAAAATGAATTGGTGTATAAACAGTTTTCACTCTACAAAAAAAATAGCAAGTAACATTAAAATTAAACATGGAATTTTGAGGTAGAAAGAGAGACTGAAATAGTATGTTCTTATAAAATGCACTCCAATAATCTTTGTTTCATTTACAACTTTAAAATTGTTAATTGAAAAAGTCTTTCAGAATAGGTGCATTATATTTCTAATAATGCAGGTACATATATTTCTACATATCAAACATGGCATGTAAATTTGTACCAGTTTGTGCGTTATAATGGGGGAAAATACAATTGTCCTTGGTCTCCCCTATTATTCAGAATCTCAGTTCAACAAAAGCCGCATGCTAGAAATAGTACTATGTTAATGCTGGCCAAATTGTTTTCTAAAACCCAATTGGGCTGTCTATTTAATTTAATGGATGACATGTACATGAATATTCAATCGGATAAGCTATTCCATCCAATTCCAAAAGGGAATTCTCAAGCATGAGGAAGCGAGCCTCATCAGTAAAGGTGGACATTTGTATCAAAATAGATGGAATATTCCTGGCTGCGAGCCAAGATTCCCATCTGCCTTTGAAAGCAGCCTTCCCCATCTGCTGAGATTAGCCTGTCAGAAAACACGGCTGATACCCGTTGTGAAAGAGAAGGGATCTTTCACCCAGCAGTCCAGATAATACCTGCCGGATGCTGTTATTGTGCTTCTTTCGGATCCAGTTACTGCAAATCATCAGTGAGAACCTGGACGGGTGGCTGAGATAATGACTTTACTCCCAAACCCCCCACCCCCTGATGTCCAGGTCAATCTCACACCAACTGCCCATATCTCCCTTCTGGAATTTGCCCATTAGAGCCATAGCCAGATCCTATTGAATAGCATTGGAGCTGGCACTAAGAAATATGAGAGCAAAGCTTCTCACAAGTTGAATTTTGGACATGGAATCATCTCAAGGAATAGACTTATTTTTTAGAGCTACTCGAAATATCATATCAGACATGCTTGCATTTGACTTTTGGCATACATTCTGGTTCACATTGGAGCATATTTTGGCCAAAGAGATCCCTGGAGAGAACTATCCCATTTATCAGCTGGCGTATTTACTCCGTAAGTATGCAACCTGCATGCAGCCATCATTCCTCATGGGTACTTTTTCTGGGCACAGATTTTGACCCAATTACTAGAGTCATAAATGCCATGTGACTAATTACTCTGGAGTAATTACCAGCAGGGGCTATCTGCCCATCCTAACCAGCCTTGACCCCGATTCTAGCCAAAAACACATATTTAGACAGGAAGACACCATTTCACCGTTGTTGGGCGAAATCCAGTCATTTCAATAGAAATCTGTGAGTTTCATGTGAGGATGGAAAAACTCCCAATAGACTTTGTTCGTGTTCGTTCAATGGTAGCCACACCAGATACTGACTGCGACTTTTGATATTGACCCCTCCTTTGTTCAGGGACACATTAGCTTCTTCCATTTCTGTTTGTAAAATGCCTGTGAAACTTGTTCAGTATTATCTCAGTTGTTTAACTTTTTATGTGAAAACAAATATTTACACATGTTAGGAATTTTGCTGGAAAAAAAGCAGGTGATAGTGAGAGGATGTTTGAGTTTAGCTATTACTTATCGTTAGCTCATATCAGACAGTTCCATTTAGATGGTTTCTGCATAAGTGTGTATTTTTTCAAGGCACTTGAAAATTATGATTGCAGTTGTGATATTTTTGAAGTACCTTGAATAGATTTTCTCTTATTCAAGAAATCATTCCATTATTCCAATGACACATAAAAATGCATTTTATGTCTGACCTCAAAACACAGTTTGCCAATGGGGAAAAGAAACGTGATTAAATATATATTCAATATACATTTTCAGAAAAAAAAAAATCTATTCAATTTTGCCTTAAAAATTCTAAGGAGTTTTAGATGTTTTTACTGGAAAACAATACCAGATTTTTATTTATTTATTTATTTATTTTTGCAGTATTGTTTTGCGCCCATAAATAAGTGAAGGCCAAGCTAGCATGTGTCGCTAATCAATTAGGGTGGAAATGCAACTGCATAACTCAAAGCTTTCAATGGGAATCTCTGCACAATTTGTCCTGATCTGTTCCTCCAATCTGTCTAGTGTCTATTACTCAATGTCTCTTTCACCTGCGTGCACAACAATGCAAGACAAATGAATGTGCTGCAGGCATAAGGATACTTGACTTTCATTAACTCCCAACACAAAGTATGCATCAATGCATTAAGAACAGCACTG